TGTGCGATAATGCCCAAGGCATGCAATCCGCACTTAATCAGTTGGCAATCAGTGTCCGCAGGTACGGCATGTGCTTTGCACCCTCCAAGTGCAAAGTACTTCTACAAGACTGGCAGGATTCTAATCCTGTACTCACCCTGGATGGTGAGCAGATCGAAGTAGTTGAGAAGTTCGTGTATCTAGGTAGCTATATAAGTGCTGGTGGTGGCGTGAGTGATGAGATTGATGCACGTATAATGAAAGCCAGATCGGCTTATGCCAATCTGGGCCATCTTTGGCGCCTTCGTGATGTTAGTCTGGCTGTAAAAAGTCGGATTTACAACGCGTCGGTGAGAGCAGTTTTGCTCTATGCTTGTGAAACCTGGCCTCTCCGAGTTGAGGATGTTAGACGTCTCTCTGTGTTCGATCATCTTTGTCTCCGAAGGATTGCTGACATCCAGTGGCAACACCATGTTAGTAATGCAGAGGTTCGACATCGTGTGTTGGGGCGCAGAGACGTTAATTCAATTGGTGTCACCATCTTGAAACACCGACTTCGGTGGCTTGGACATGTTTTACGAATGTCGTCCCAGAGACTTCCACGTCGTGCATTATTTGCCGACCCTGGGACTGGTTGGAAAAAGCGGAGAGGAGGTCAGTGTACGACATGGTGTCGTGGCATGAAAGAAAGCTGCTTCTGTTGGTCCTTCACGACTCCTTGGTTGGGGTCCGAGAGATGGTGCAACACAGTGGCTAGAGACGTTATCAGATATGGCTCAGAATAGAAACCAGTGGCGATCCTGCTGCAACCTTCTTTTACTTTCTACATAAAGAATGGTTCTAACTTTCCTAACTGAAAGAGTCTTCTGGTTGTACATTTTAGTCCGCCTTATCTTTTCATCCCTTCTCTTCCTACTTTCATTATTTTGTGTGGCGCATATGTATCTGGTGCTATTTTGTACCAATATATATGTGTTTAAATAAATAAATAAATAAATTACGCATGCCCAACCACTGACTGCCCCGACGTGCGACATTTTATGGTGTAGGAGTAGGTTGGTAAAAAGCTAGGGGTGGCCAAACCAAAACGTGGCATAAATCCATGAAGTCGCTGACAAGTGGACTAAGCCATGTTGGGATCCGCGAGATGATAGCAACCGATGGTTGGTGACCATGAATGACATGACTCAAAATCGTTTGCCATGGCGAAGGTGCATTCACTCTTTGTGTCCTCCCAAATTCTAATCTTTTGAATTCTTCATGTCCCTATCTTTTTTCTATTTCCAAATTTGTTTCACTGAATTATACTCCTTGAATAATATCTTCAAACCCTAATCTTTCGGATTACTGCTTACACTCTTACTACCTCCTGATTTTAAAAAATCCAACCAGAAAGTACTCTCCCAGCCGAAGGATTCACTTTCATTTTTATGAAAAATGTAGTGGAAAACTACAGCAAGAATGCTATTGGCTTTTGTCCCGAGTAGTATGATATATCAAGCCACTGAGTTGCACTATATCTGGGAGCCTAACTAGGGAATTGTGATTAACAGATCCCAGTTCTGTACATCCTTTTATACCATGGTGCCATATTATAAAATGGCCACGTCTCCACTCACTTGTAACGTTAAGTAACGGACGGAGTGGAATTCTCTGGGATGACATTCCTACTTGTGCCTAGGCCTCCGCACCCGGTTCCTCATGATTGTCGTCTGTGTACCCGATCACGTCCCCGAATCTCCTCATTATTAACATGATGTTATTAAATGTCACCGATCCTCCGGAGGTAAAAATGATCAAGCAGAGAGTTATCTAACATTCTCAAGTCCGAGAGTTGGATATCACAACCACAAAGTAGGACTGCTCCCACTAATGGGTTATAGACTCAACATTTTACAGCTAAACTAACATAATGACAGCACCAAAGTGGCGAAAGCCGCTCTATCCACTACATATAGATTAATTTCATCTAACAGTATCACGAGCACTCACAGATGCTTAGATAAACAAACTTTCTGACACGTATTACGCATGCCCAACCACTGACTGCCCCGACGTGCGACATTTTATGGTGTAGGAGTAGGTTGGTAAAAAGCTAGGGGTGGCCAAACCAAAACGTGGCATAAATCCATGAAGTCGCTGACAAGTGGACTAAGCCATGTTGGGATCCGCGAGATGATAGCAACCGATGGTTGGTGACCATGAATGACATGACTCAAAATCGTTTGCCATGGCGAAGGTGCATTCACTCTTTGTGTCCTCCCAAATTCTAATCTTTTGAATTCTTCATGTCCCTATCTTTTTTCTATTTCCAAATTTGTTTCACTGAATTATACTCCTTGAATAATATCTTCAAACCCTAATCTTTCGGATTACTGCTTACACTCTTACTACCTCCTGATTTTAAAAAATCCAACCAGAATGTACTCTCCCAGCCGAAGGATTCACTTTCATTTTTACGAAAAATGTAGTGGAAAACTACAGCAAGAATGCTATTGGCTTCTGTCCCGAGTAGTATGATATATCAAGCCACTGAGTTGCACTATATCTGGGAGCCTAACTAGGGAATTGTGATTAACAGATCCCAGTTCTGTACATCCTTTTATACCATGGTGCCATATTATAAAATGGCCACGTCTCCACTCACTTGTAACGTTAAGTGAGTTATACTCCTTGAATAATATCTTCAAACCCTAATCTTTCGGATTACTGCTTACACTCTTACTACCTCTACTACAATGAGATTTGAATCGACATTTTTATCTCTGTGCTAATGTGGTATGGCAACTCAAACTGATGGACGTACGTACGAAGTTCTACGTTGTGACTGACTAAACGTCTCACCACCGTAAGTGAGGTCAGGCGTGGGTTCCCGTTAGTTGGATTTAAAAATTACATGCCTATGGACACCAATTCTCAATTATTTGCGTTTCGAGTATCATCACACATCAATACTATGTCATCCACATACTCCAGGTCACTTTAGTATTAAACTGCTGTCGTGTTGATTTTCTGTAAAACACTTGTAAAATATAAAATTAGTAATACCGCTATTTAGTCTGTGTAATAATTAGTAAATATTGTTAGGATACAATCCACCCAGTTATTTTTCAGATAGTACACTTAGAATGATCTAATCTGCTGATGTCATTCCAGTAAGCGACATGCGCAAACCAGAAGTCAAGTAATATTGTCACATTAAGATCGAAAAGGTAGGCAAACGTCCTACGGCGGTTATGATATCAAAGAAATTCGGTATACCAGTGGCTTGTAACTTTCTCGTCGGTTACGTTATTTATCTCATTTTATCAATAAGGTAATAGCCGCCTTAATGTAGTACTTTGGTTCTTTTAGGAGAGTAAAGATGCAAGATGGTGTTTGTGAGCGTTTTGTTCGACGCTACTTATTATCGAAGAATTTCAAAGATACACTGAATGCATTCGAAATTGAGCATTCGAAAGAAAAAAGTAGAGGAAAAGTAATTCGCTTTGGTTAATAATGGTGTATCTAGTTTCAGCCATTAGACATTATCGATCAACTTCAAGAAGCGATCTACGATTCTAATTTAACTCAGTTGATCAATCAGTGGAATTTCTTAGAAAATACACTATTTCACCGGTTGTCAGGTGATAAACAACTTGCTGCCAATGAGCTCAAAGTGCATGTTTTTCGTACATACTTAGTGCAGGCTAAAATAAAAAAACGTCAAGCAAAAATGACTGAGTTTTTCGAATCACTTTCTTCGCAGTTTTCCTTTGGAAAAGAGGAATGGCAAAGTTGGTGTGGTAATGTTTTATTATTAAGTTGATTAATCTGCACACAGCTTTGCCTTACGCAGCGGATCCAAAAATGCATCCAGAGTTTTTTATGTATTTTACAAAGTCGTGGATGGACGTGTTGATTCTATCACTAACAAACTTCCTCTGTTTGATAAATTATTCTGAAAGTAACCAAAGCAGAGTATTTTTTGAGATGGAGTTTCCGAACCGGAAGAATAAAGTAAGTTCGGCCTGTCGTTGTTACCTCTGTACATAGTTTGTAGTCGAGAACTATGAGTAAAAGGCTATATACGCAACAAGTCTAATAGTTCGAGTAATTTGTTCCCACTTCTAGTAATACAATCAGATAAGATACTTACTACTTTTTAAGCTAACTTTTAGTACTATAAGCATTTTTAATTATCATAACTTCCTGATACGCTGCTCAGTTACTAGAACTGAAATATAAGTATCTGTCCATCTGTAAGATTAGTAGTGAGACGAATAGAGAAACAAACACTAGGCTCATACACCTTTAGCATTCAGTTCAATGTTGCAATCCTTTAAACCGTTATATATATATATATATATATATATATATATATATATATAGAGAGAGAGAGAGAGAGAGAGAATGTGATGGTGAAAAAAGTATCATGTGTTATGTATTATGTTAGTTTATCAAAACCTGCTAAGAATCCCATTTTCTTTTGGAAAAAATATTGTATTTTATTTCCATAGTCAAGCACAAACGAAAAGACACCGACGTCAGGAAATCAATTGCCATTTGGGGAGCTCCTTGATAACTTTAATGAACTGGGAACTATCCGAACAAATTCAAAACTTCCGTGATCATTTCAAATGTCCAATAGTGTGAAACAAGTGTCGTTTGTGCTAGTAACCCATATGTATCTAGCGTAATTCTACATATGACTGACTACTGAGCATTTTCAACTACATTTCTGAACAATCATCAACGTTTTGTATTTGACAGAAAAATTTTATCTGTATAGTAGCTAAATACCTTTCTTATAATTGATTGTGCTAGTAAATATAAAAGTTATCAGTTGTCTCGACGGGGGGAGTAATTTAATTTCCATAATCTACTTTTCTCTAATTTTCCCGCCTATGAAATCCTATTGTCCGCCAAACCTATTCATTTTCCATGCTCTTCGATTTTGTTGCAGTTAAAGATGTTTTGCCTTGCTAATTCGTTCCTCTCTTATGTAAGTTCTGTACCCCTAAATGTGTGCCTAATACTTGACTTGACTGGGGACAAAAGAAGAAGAAAAAAGTTGTATTTAGTAATCAAGGAAATTGAAACTCGAAATATTTCGCTGTAGTGTGAAGACGTATCCGTGATGAATGTAAACTCTGTGGTTAAAATGATACTATATTAAGGAGTCCTTTAGATGTGTACTTATATACCACATTATAATTACAGATATCATTCTGTTCGACAGTATATTCCAAATGTATGCTTTTAGGTTAAGAATATTTAATTGGTTAAATTGTGAAATCGAACACAACTAATATACTTTAACTTAGGTTTTTGAGTGAGTGAGATGTAGTTAGCGCTACCAACTACTTTTTTTTAGTAATCACTATGTTCCACTATTTTATATTGGTTGTTACATCAGATTTAGGGTCTCAAAAACACTGATTAAAACATTTTATTATTTTAAAATATACATACAAGAAATGTGCAGCCATTAAATTACACAAGTTAAGTCAACTAATTTGTCCCTCTACCATTGAATAACGATCAATATCAGACAATGGCTGCTTTACTCGTCCAGGTGTTATTGGTTTCAGTTGATCCAAAACGAATTGGTTGGCTGTACTATTTCTACTGCTTCGTTCCCATAGAATTGGTATTGTAGGATCCCTTGAAGGATGTAAAGGGGCAGTACCTGAACTTTCAGTCATTGTACGTATTCGGCGTTTGTGTATACGATTGAAAGTATAACTAGGGTTTGATTCATTTTCCTGAGCACTTCCGTCTTTAATTGGTGTTTCATCTGTAATACGTATATTGCATTCCATAGACTTCAAAAAAGTACTCAGAATACCTAGATCGATACTGTAATATCTTGGTCTTAATAAAACACAAGCACTATGAGGCCGTACCATTGCTGTAAATGGTTCGTCTTTATTGCCATATAATTCTCCTAAGATACTAGTCATCTCATACCTGTTCCATACATGTAGTCCCTCATTATGTGATGTAGCAATGGGAGTATTTGTGTAAGTAGTAAACTGAGGTTTGTCTTCAGTCTGGAACACACATGAACCACGGAAACTACGTTCGCACTCGATTTCTGATTTATTATTCCCAGAATTGAATATCCGATTTGCTGACCCTATTCGACTAAGAGGTGCTAAAATAAAATAGAAAGATGACATATTAGTCGAAAAAGAGCAAGTTGTGCGACTGTCATGTAAATTAACTAGCAGTCAAATGAGAAGTCACTTACTTAATGGAGTTGATTCACTAGGTTCATATAGACTCTTTGGTGTTCCGGTTGCAGAGGCCATAATTGATTGATATGGTTCAATCAATTCATTCCAAATACTACCCGTAGAAATCGGACTTAACACTCTAAGCTTATTTCCAGCGAATTCTGATGTATCTTCAGAAGTTAGTGAATGGTTTATGTCCATATTGGCCGTTATATCTACGGGACCTGAGTCGCTTTTGAATTTCCGATACCTAAGACCCGTCGGCAAAAAGCAATCTTCATCTCTAGTCGGTTGGTCATAACCTGTGAAACCAAAAGGAGGTTTTCTTGACGATATTCGAATTCCCTTTTCTGAAAGAATAGGTCGGGGCTGTTTCACATTTCCTTTTTCTGTAGTTGTGAAAACACCAGCAGTTTTATCATTGTTGAGGGGACAATTTTCATCCTGTTGAACAGTACTTGCTGCATTTATGTACTCACGAATATGAGAATAAGCCATGGACATAAGGGTAAGATTAGTTGCAACTTTAACTGCAAATAGTCTAAAAAATAAAGTATCTATTTAAAATCACTGAAAATTAACACATATTAAGTTGACTTAACATTTACACAGACCTCCACACTTCAAACAAAATGGATCCCATAGTTACGCTTTCTTTTGTTCAAAGAAATGCTTAACAGTGTTAGGAGTGTCCAAATGCAGTGAAACTGACTTCAATACCGAAAGCTTGAGTGCTGTTAGAGGTGTGAGAGCGGTTATCGCTTACTGGTTGCCCACACCGTGGAAGGATTCTTTTAGAAGTACCTGAGAGCGTGACCACAGTGCCCAGGGGACAACTGCTTGAGAACGGTCACACGACCTTTTCGTGTTAGCTCTGTACTTGTCGAGACCTTACCACCGGAGACGGAAACCCACGAGATAAGGCGACGTACGCATCTTTAGGGTCGACCTTTTAAGACCCACCCTTTCGTTGAAGGAAGGCAGCATTGGTGGTTTTCTGAAAGAAACACCTTACTGCCGTCACACCTCTGTACAGTCAGCAGTATGAGAAAACAAAAACATAGAATTTGTGCTAAATTTATGTTGATAAATTAAAGTATTTCTTATTTATCATTAGCATTTGTTTTATTGCGTAACCATGTCTTTCTATACCTTTGGTCTTGACTTCTGTTAATGTTCCAGAATGTTCTCTTGAGTAGGAAACACATTTGCAATATTTTATTAATTCGCATTTTCGCTGTAATATGCTGATATGTGTCCATAATAACTTTCAATTAAATTCATTGATGTATCTTCATCTCATTTTGCAGTTTTGATTTTGAGACATTATAGGTTGTAAACAATCGACGAGAACCTAATTCAATAGAATGAATTCGTGTTATTCTATTAAAATCTTTGTCCTTGCTCTCAAGTTAATAAAGGGGACCATATATTGTAGACATTACGGAATAATACAAAAATGTGAATGGCTAATCAGAAAAGAAATATCATAAGGAAAATGGCATCAACAGCTTCTTTTTTCTCCAGCATTTGCAAAAACGCCTATTCTTGAAAATTTTAAAGCAATAACTTACGCAGACACAACAAACGGTAAAGTAAGGCAAAGAGTGCTGGGACTTCTTATTGTTTGAAAGAGCATAGCATTAATTAAACAACTAAGAGGAATGGGAGTAAGACCCATACGACGTGAAAGAAGGTCAGAGTAGTCTGATGTATTCTGAAAAATAAATGATAATATACTAAAAAAAATCAAAGCATCGTCTCAGTAATAAAATAAAGAACAATATATAGCTATGAATAATTCAAGAATGTTGCGAATAAAGTCCAGGAATATATATGCGCTTAAACCATAGAATTCCCGTCATTTACGTTTTCCACTTCACCCTCCATGTGAATTAGAAACTAAGCTGGAGGTTAGAATTTTCCTGTTGCAGATATTTAGGGCTAAACTGATCAATTCATTTTGCTAGATGAACGGACACTACGACATCGAATACATCCATAAGCTGATTATATTTTGGATCAGTCACAGAAATAGTAAGACTTAACGCCAATGTTCAAAAGTTATCACAGCACAGACCAATACCTAACTCGAGATTTGTAGGAAAACGGGTGAGTGCAGTTGTATCACTGTAATCAAAGTCGCATCATGTCACTTAGTGCGTTCTATTCCCTAATTCAGATGATTTTGTTACCCTCAACCAGGATATCTCTAACTACCGTCATTGCTCAAACCAGAGTACAATGACTTTGTAAATTGTTGCCATGTTTTGTGAGACACCCAGCTTTATCTTTCTTCAGTCAATAATTCACATCAAGGTAGACGGTGGTTAGACATGCGCAATACACAATACAATCACAGTCGATAAAAAATTGTAGCATCATGAATTAATTTGGCCTTTTTATTTAGTACGGATAACTCGATTTATAACCTTGTTGACTGAGTAGTTATCATTTAACTGGTGTGGATTTCATTATGAATATTGAGGCTGACAAATTCGTGAGTAAACTAGACAGGTTAGTTTGAATTTTTGTTTATTAAGTGGTTTGATAACACATGGTATACAAATGGTCATGAACAATCTTCCAAATCGTTACCCACTGAAATAGTGGATTTCCAATGGAGAAAAATTAATGGAAGTCACAGTTTTAAAAACCGTAACGTAGATACGACATGTGAGCATTAGATGGCTATAACAAGAATGTCTTTGATATTCATTCAGTTTAGTCTTATGGGTCTATCATTGCCAAATAAACTTGGTGAGCATGATTACGAAAAAAAACACTTTTACAGTATTTTCAAACAGCTCAAAATATCCAGACATGTTATCAGTACCGAAACAATCTAAAGAAATTACAAGCAAACATGAACAGTGGCTAGCAGTGGAATTTAAGACGCCCATTTCTTCCTATTTGAGACTCGTCAGCTGGATGTACCTGCATCTCAGAGTTGGTGTTCACTCTGGGACTCGAGCCCAGTAACGTTCGGTTCAAACGCCATCGCGTTATCCACTGAGTCCTGATAGCCACTCGCTTGCGCAATGGTCAATAAGAGACTGATTAATTGCAGTCCTACACGTCAATCGGAAGATTCAACCAAACAATAGCAAGTGAATTTAAACTTCACCCCATTGCACAAGCAAGTGGCTAAGTGAATAACGCGAGGGCGTTTGAGGCGAACGGTACTGGGTTCGAGTCCCAGAGTGAACATCAACTCTGAGGTGCAGGTACATTCAGCTAACGAGTCTCAAATAGGACGAAACGCGCATCCTGGATTCCACTGCTAGCCACTATCTATCTTTGCATATAATGCTTGTGAATTAAGGCTATATCAAGGCAATACGCACAGTATGCATATATGCCAGTAAGAGACTGATCAGTTGCAGTCCTAAAATTCAATGGGAAGATTCAACCAAACAATAGCAAGTGAATTTAATCTAAAGAAATGTTTGAGTTTCATAAAAAGAAAATCGTTACTAACCTTTCCCTGATGGCATAATAATAGGTCGTAAGCAATGCTCACAGTATACTCCTCATAGACCTATCATAAAAACGACAATAACATTAACAATTAACAACTGATGACTAATAGATTTGTTCCAAGAAAAACTTAGTATAATTCCACTTGATATGATGACGAATTTCATAAGAGTGAAATCGAAAGTCTAGAAATGTATGGGTGGGGTTTGTTTCCTAAGGAAAGCTGATGAAAACACACAACATTTGACTTCTAATTTGACTCAGCTAAGATAGACGGTTTTCCAACATTATGTGCCAATTAAAGCAGAGATGGATGGTGACTAGCAACGGAATTCTGGACGCGCATTTCGTCCTATTTGGGACTCATCAGCCCAATGTACCTGAATCACATAGTTGGTGTTCGCTCTAGAACTGGAAGCCAGTATCGTATAGAATGCATATATTTCAAAGGAAACTGATGAATTGCAGTCCTGAACATCAATGGGAAGATCTTTTTATTGAAAATAAAATTAATCGTAACAATCACGAAAATTGTTTTGAACGTTTATTTGTAGATAACACAATCATATCACATTTGTTTGCACTTTTTGGAATAATGATTCAGCTAATTCTAACAGTTTGGTCTAAAATATATTTGATGGTATTATCATGAGATAAAATAGACATTATTCAACACCTGACAGAATGTGAAATCCTTGACCTTGATTGTAGTTACATATTTTAAGATAACTATGGTTAAACAACGACAGCTTCGTGTAAGGGTGGCTCGTTAGCGAATTCAGGAGGCCCAGAAAGAGTCGAAGACATTTCATCCAATCACTGCTAGAGGAACATTCTAGAATATCGACGTGTAGCTTCTCTATTGGGTGAATAAGAAGGATTCCTTATGTGCCTGTTGGCTGTCCGAAACGACGATTTACTTTCAGCCAAAAACTACAAATACATGAGGTTTTTTGTACTATATTTGACACTGTGACATTCCTACTTACTAGACTTCTGTCTTTTCTCGTGACGTTCAGTTAGTGTAGTAGTACGCGGCACAGCAAGAATTTAAAGCTCTAGATATAACACTTCGTATGATGTGTAAACAGATACGAATACAAACCTGTGAAAGTACTGTGAGTAATTTAATTATACGTTCATAATTTTTTCAACTTAAATGTACCTCATCTGCTGCGAGGTGAACCATTGTCCGGTTTAAAGCTTAATTGAGGATTTTATAACCACACCTTTGAGGGCTTCAGTAGACAAACTGGATTTAACGTACAGGGTGACTAGAGTTGAAGAAAAATCCGAGTTACTAAAGAATCGAATTTAGGAGATACGGTTTGTTTTCCTACCGACTCAATTAAGAGCACCAACTGCTAAACTAGTTTTGATTTCAATTCAAATAACAGGTATTATTCTAAACTACTGTGAGAATATGGTCGGTATCTAACTAACTGCACTTTATCATATGAACAGCTGAAGTCATTTCTTTACGAATCGAATGAAGTTGAGTTATAATAGGATAGGCAAATGTACTGGTTACACATTTTAAATGAGCCAGCCTTATTAGTATATATAAAGGAAAATATGCAGAAATGTCACTTTTTTGTTTCCGAAGACGTAAATGTAATCACCATACCGATTGGAAAAGAAATCAAAGTTATCTTACGTTAAGTATAATTAAGCTCATTTTATTAATTAACTAGCATATTGCATCTGAAAATTCAACTACTTTCGTTATTTATTTAAAAGAATGAAACTCACATTTGAAGGGATCACATTAAATTTGGTAATGAATGAATGCTTTATCCAATCCACAGCAACTTCTGCCAGAAGAATATAGGTTACATCAATGAGAATGGTTTGAAGATCATCTATTTTTTTAAAAAAAAGTGTATCAACAAAAACAATTCATCCATTGCAACTTGAGAATATCAATAATAATAATATGAGGTTTATAATGTGTGCCTGGAATGCAAATGATCCCATCAGTAGAATAAGATCTAATTGTATCTGAGACAGAGAAAAAACAAATTTCAGGTCGACATTAACGAATATTTCATCGATATTTTAATTAGATTACGTGAAGTACAACTAGTGAGTGAAACAGTAATCTAAGCTAAATTCAGCAAGAACCTTGACTAAATTAGAAAAACAAAGAATTCTGAGTATACCCATCAACCTTTTTGTAAAAACAATTGGTGAGAATCAGTGTTTATTGAATTAACCTGTGTCGTGTGTGAGGAAGTTACACACCGGAGACAATGGAAGATGGTTGACCAATATCTTGAATTGGTTGAAGTTGGACATTAACATCGTTGGACGCCAACTTAGTGGTCAAGAGGTAAAGATTTAGCGCGCGAGACCGATGAACCTGGGTTCGGTCTGTGCATGCGGGGTCGTGGATGCACATTTCTGGAGAGAAGGGGAGTCTAGGTCTTCAATTATGGTCTAACACTGATTGCTTCATGATTTTGATGAGGCATAAGCAATTACAGAAATCATAGACAAATATAGGATCAATAATCAAGTTGGAAGGGGAGACAATCAAAGTAAATATACCCACAACGACAGGCTAAAGGTCAACAGTAGCCTATCAAGATCGACAGGACAAACCGTCAGCTATTCGTGGAGCAATTAGAATATCTTACTTCTACCTGAATTGTGTGCTGATGATGTTGTTGAGAAAAACAATGAACGCTCCAGTTACACAATTTAGCTCAGAAAACGAAACTCCACCAATTAAGGGTTTATTTTGTGTCAGACAACCAGGATACACGAGACCATAAGTCCTACTGTATCAGTAGGCCCCATGATTACAATAATATTGATAATTAAGGTTTACCTAACTTGATCTTTCTTGATTGAATAATATAGAGTACATTTCAATAGCTTACTTACCTACGCCTGTTACCACTTGTGGGGGAGCATGGGCCGCACACCAATATTCTCCATCCAACCCTGTCCTGGGCAATCCTTTCCAGTTGTTATCCATCTTTTTCATATCTCCTTTTGTTTCCCGGCGTAATGTGCTTTTTGGCCTTCCTCTTTTCCGCTTCCCTTCAGGATTCCAATTTAAGGCTTGCCTCTTCATTCCCGTAATGTATATTCCATCCACCTTCAACGTTTTTTCCTAATTTCCTCTTGAGCTGGAAGCTGGTTCGTCGTTTCCGAAATAAGGCTGTTGCTGATAGTATCCGGCCAGTGAATGTTGAGTAAACAACTACTTATAAATACTTGCACCTTCTCGACGATGGTTGTAGTAGTTCTCCACGTTTTAGCTCTGTTCAGTAGGACTGTCTTGACGTTTGTATTGAAGATTCTCACTTTGAAATTAGTTGACAGTTGTTTTGAATTCCATATGTTCTTCACTTGTAGAAATGCGGTCCTTGCTTTGCCAATCCTCGCCTTTACGTCTGCATCCGATCCTCCTTATTGATCAATGATGCTTCCCAGGTACGTGAATAATTCCACATCTTCCATGGTTTCGCCATCAAGTGTGATTGGATTGGTGTCATCCGTGATGTATTTGAGGTTCTTGCTTTTTCCCTTGTGTATGTTAAGGCCTACTGACGCACAGGTTGCTGCTACATTAGTTGTCTTCGTCTGTATTTGTTCGTGTGTATGGGATAGGAGGCCTAGGTCATCTGCGAATTCCAAATTGTCTAATTGATTCTGAGCTGTCCATTGTATTCCGTGCTTTCCTTCAGATGTCCAGATTTTCATAGTCTTGCTAATAAAATGACAACGTTTCAATAGACAACTCGACACTTGTGAGCTGAGTGTCTATTTTATTGAATTATATCTCTATTCAATCAACTGTTCTGTGCATTAAACGTGATATTTTTATGATTTAAACACATAAATATTGGTACAAGAAGGCATCAGATATATATGCGCAGCACAAATCTCATTTGATTTGTGTCAGGGCTATGATACTGGTCAGGTGCCCAAACTGAAACAGGTGGTTTTCTTAAGGGGCCACACCCCAATCCTTTGACCTAAAGGTCTGATCCACAAGGCAGTGGAGCATCGTAAAACGATGCAGACCCATGGTACCCGATGACCAACGATTAATTCATACGCCATTCGTTCCCTCAGGATACTGAAGCTCATATGCACCATTGGTATGGAATCATGGTTTTCCAACTCCCCTAGGTGAACTCACCGTCTCCAACGGCCCGGTTAAAGCGCCGGACATTCGCTTTTTGCCCTCTCAATTTCGTAAACAACACCCTCACCACGAGAAGGCAGTGAGTAGGACTTCCCTGGCAAAGGCTACATACGCGCGACCATATGAGAGCACCTCGAGAAGGAGAGCGGGCCCTCCCCGCTCTCGGCCGCACCAGGGCATTTGGAGGCCATTAAACGTGTACAAGTATGTGAAATAGATACACTTCAATTCGAAACCATACCTTAGAAAATAATTTTTTTACTAAAAGACCATTCAACACAATGATAATTAACTCATTAAAAATATTTATACAAAACAAAATGTCAAATGGTAAAAACGCAAAGAAACATTTATTTGCTTAAAATAGTTACATATTACATTTATCATCAAATTAAATGAGTTAATCGAATGCATTAAACCAACCGAAAAATAATTAATTTTTATTCACTATATACGCATTAACAACAGAATGTTGTTTCAATTGTCTGTTTATTTGAATCAATAAATTAAAAACATCATCATAAGCACATATAATTAATCATTTTAATAAACACCCTTGAAATACAATCGATTATTTAAGAAAAAAATAAATACTCTCAACATCATAGTTGAATTCATGAGTCAATTGAATCTAGACAACCATGAAAAACCTGAAAGCACTTGAAGGCCGTTTCGTCCCATTGTGAGACACCTCAACAGTGCGCATTCACCATCCCGCATGGCGAGATTCGAACCCAGGACCAATCAGTCTCGCGGGCGAGAGCTTAACCACTAGACCACCGAGCCGGCATCCAACGGTGTTAATGTCTAACTTCAACCGATCTCCGATATTGAGAAACCATCCACCATTGTCTTCAGTGAGGTACTATCTCACAACAGACCCGGTTGAACTCCACTAGTCACTGCTTCTCATCAGAACTCCAAGAAATACCTCTTGAAGCCAGTCACTAGTGAGCATGTGATTATTATCAGAAGTTGTTTTGTGGTTTCCATGGTGCTCTAGCTTCAATTGACTCGTGAATTCAACTATAAAATTACTAAAATTTCACAAAACCTCTTCCGATAACTCTCAACATTAAACAATAGAAATTAATTAATCAGACTATGTAATTCATACAACGACATAATAATAACTGTAAAAATAAAAATAATAATTAACGATAAAGCGAACTAATTTTATAACTAACATTAGCATTTTATGCTTTCTGTTTATCTCAGATAAGGTCACATCAGTACGTATTCACTAAACTCTGGCTTGAGACATTTTAGTAGGTGTAGACTAATAGGTTGGGGTCCGTGTCAGTCAGCAGTAGGTCTATGATGAAATTGAACAAAAACGGAGATAATGGACACCCGTACCGGACACCATTTCAGGTTATAAAATAATATGACAGTTCGCCATAAGCTCCCACTCGACTGGTAGTGTTCGAGTAAAGTCTTCACAAGGTTTACGTTCTTCTGAGGTACACTTTTCAATGTCAGACATTGCCACAGAACTTCTCGGTCTACAGAGTCAAATGCTACTCTCCAGTCAAGAAAAACTATCATTGTCGGACGTCGATAAGCATGCCTGTGTTCTAAAACCTGACGAATAGTGAATATTTGATCGATACAGCCACGACCAGGTCTGAAGCCAGTCTGATTTTCTCGTGTTTGCAGTTTACGAGTTTTAGTTAGGTGCCCGATGATTATTGAGGCTAGTATTTTAGATGCTATATTAGTCAAACGAATCCCTCTATGGTTATCACAAGATGATTTTAAACTCTTGTTATATATTGCGATAATAAGTGATTGTGACCAGTCGGATGGGATCCGTGACTGTCCTAAACAATGGTTGGAGACTGAGTAACATTTCTCAGAATCGATCATAATGGCGTAGGTGCATACACCCTTTGTCTTCTCTTAAACCGTGAGATTAAAATTACTTTATACCTTTCTTTCTATGCACTAATTCTTTCTCTCTGTATCATGTTCTTATATGCAATCTTTTCTTGAAATATATTATTACCATTGAAGTAATGCTTCTATGAATTTGGTGTTCATCTTGTTGTGTTAACGAATAAGGTGTGTCAACTTGGATCGATCACATTTTGAGGGCGGCCTGCTTAAACATCTAGGCTATCTGTTCCTGTCATCTATATATTTCAACAAGTTATCTAATATTGTTTGTTTTAATACATCATTATGGCTATTAAGCACACAACCTATTCCGGTGCGTTTCTGAAAACTGTACAACCTTTCGCTGTAAAGGTTACAAAAGGCCTAATCAGAGATGTCGTGTTTGCTGGGAACATGCAGCAAAAAGAGTATACATTATTCATATGTCGATTGACTGAACTGCTGACATCCAACTGGCGATCACTGAATGTTTATCATCAGGAGCAACGAAGAAATAAGAAACGTAAACATGTTGAAATACTTTATGCTGAGAATTCGATTTTGTACCAAATAATATAATATTGAATAAAGCTAATAATAATAATTTAAAAAAATGTATATATGTGCCTGGTTCTATTTTGTAGCTGACTGACAGATAAAGTTTAAGAGTATCTGTCTTATGTATGAGTGTATGTATGTTGAGGCTTAGAATAATCAATTATTAACAAATTGGATACTGAATAAAAGAATTTATATACAACACCATGAAAATAATTTGCGAAATTATTTTTCTTTTTTGATTACAATGATGAAAACTGAACACAGATAGAAATTAGTGTATAGGCATAGGCTTTTTTCCACTGAGACAACAGTTTAATAAAAATCAATATTTTTTGAGATTTTTAATGTTAGTATACTAGTACTATGGTCAATAAATGTGCTAACCGAACTAACAGGAAACTCATGATATGTCGAAGACTATTTTTTTTATAAATGAAACACTGAAAATAATTTACTTCATAGGAGTCAAACGTTTTAATGGGTGCCGTCGAGATTGCAAGACCAGGACAACTTTAATGATGTATGTTGATGAAAATATTAGATTTATGTGAAATTATTAGTTCTTTCCAAATGTGAATTCACTTCCCGAGTGATTTCAGAAAACGTGATTTGAGAAGAATCGTCTGTACAAATATTTTCATTTAAAAGTTTGGAGTTTAGATACAACGAAGCAGCTGGAGACTCAAACTTCTCAGAAACGGTGAAAATGCATTGCCGTAAATGAGTTATACACTGAAGGGGATAAACTTAATGCATAATATATTCTATAAAATGAAGTATTTACTATCCAATTTAGTGTGTTTATGCAATAAATTAAGTGACACAACATTGATCTTAGATACTCGAAAAGAAAGAACCATTTCATCCTCTGAAAATTTAGTACACAATTGAAAACACTACATATTCTGTTTTCTTGTCGATTTAAACTTCAGATTGATAACATTACATTATGTGGTGTCTAAAAGTCATAAAGATAGTCCATAACTGCATAATACAGTTAAGACCTAGATACATTACATAATTTACCGATTGTCGTATTCGAATAACTGAATCGTGGAATTAAAGTATGATTATCATCTGCTTTACAAATGAGCTTGAAAAATAACTTTTCATAATTCATGAATATATAACACATAAATAATACTAATCATATGGTTAACTTTGTTCTTACCTAAATTCCATCCACTTTCATTCATATTACGGCATACAATAATTGAAAACCAAACACAATAGTGAAATCGTTCACGTACATCAGCACATGCAATTTGAAATAAATTCGTTTTTCCCATTTTACGAAATACATTACCTTTTAATTCAACAAACTATTCAAATAAAAAGCAATATATATATATATATATATATATATATATATATATATATATATATTTATATATATATATAATGATGCGAAATAAAAGGAAAACCAACAAGATTTAATTACTAAATACTATCATCACCACAAACCTTTAAAGCTGAAGAGAGATTCAAGATTTATATGTTAAGGTTTCTTTCATCTAGTCATCTCTTAGTACTTATCTCTTTCCCACAACAAAATAAATGTGATCAACAGTAAAATGAACAAACAGACAACCGGTAATTGAGTAGAACTCCCCCAAGACTTTTCTATTTAACTAATTCAACAAAAATTACAGTCCCCTAAGAAAGTATTTTATGCATAATAAATACCCTATGGAAATAAAGGTGGATCATTGGTTACTCGTTCAATGGTTCAAAGGTGCTGTACTCGACAGAGGTCTGGATATCATGTTTTCGATCTTTTGATGACTTTCAGACAATGATAAGAAAATTGTTCAGTGCTTTCTAGTTTCCATTGGTTCTCCAGATGAACTTGGACTGTGACATATATTGCTTTTGAAATGAATGATCTCCGCAAACCTCTCATCTGAAAAAAGCATCAATTAGTTTGAAGACAACTGTTTGTCACTGATAAGTCTTCTAATTGAACGCTAGATTTGGTTCCTAAGCTCTTCTAGTAACCCCAAGGCTAAATCTACACAGTGACTTGAACATGAGAGAAAAGACCCGAAATATGGGAGGAAACGCTTTACTCCAAAGGTTCGTTCCTGTATAGAAAAACTAGAGTTTCTACAGTATTTTAAATGGCCTTGGGTTTCAAGAAAATTCTGCAATGCTATCAAACATAGTAGTAGTACAAGTAATCATCCAATCAGAAACTCTGCATGTGACTTTCCACTTTCTAGATGTTTCTGGCAAAACTTCTAGTGGATGCAGATTGGATAGGATGCTTCTCAGTGTCTTCAGAGTTTATTTTGGCTGGTTTTTTTCGAGGAGTTAACTGGATCTCCCTAACAGTTACCAATCAATGTTAACTGAAGAACTATGAAAAAGAAGCACTAAACAGTTACTTCGTCCTAACTTACAACCACTCAAGAGTTTTGGCATACAAATCAATATTAAATCAATCTTAAAATGGTAATCTAATCATATTAATGATAATAGCTACACTCCTGAAAAATTTAAATAACAAAAATCAAGATATCTTCACTACAACTTAAGAAGATTCATTTCAAAATCAGTCAATAGCGAGAAAATGCTGGAATTTGCCGGGACTGTAGGTTTTCATATATCCACATTATAAAGTATCAAAACAAGAAAAACGACAGAAGAAAAAAATTAGCAATTCCAACTTTAAAAGTGATTGTTTTTTAGCAAATCTAAAAATCTAGAAGCATTGAATTCGCTTAAGTAAAATAATGTAGCTTAACATCACCAACATGTCTCATTAATTGAACAATGAAACAAGCAACAATTTTATATATATATATATATCACTTTTCATTTAAACTAGGATCTAAATATAATAGAACAGCAAAGTATATTGGGAACTCACATTGTTCGAAATAAACACAGTGATCAATGATTTATTTTGTGAATTGAATGCTACATTTAAAGTAGTAACTTGACATAGCAGAAGGAAGCAGTGGGCTACTGTAATTTCGATGGTAAGAAAACAATCAAACAATATAAAAGAATACAACACAAATAACTGGAATAGTCGGAAAGAAACAACATAAAATTAACGAAACTGTTTTCTTCAAAAAGAACAAAAGAATCGATGAGTTGAATAGTAATGACCTCTTACCAATGACATAACTATGCATAAACTATGACAGAATAGAACTGTACTGTTTGACAGAACATTGAAGTAATACGTTCAGAAACTGACAAACTAACTGCATGTTGGTGGTTGTGACTGAACAAACTTAACTGTAATTCATAAGACTGAGTAAAGTCTAGCCTCAACTAAAAATCCCAGATGAATCATAAGTACGATTATAACGACTTTTATTATCCTAGAACCAAATATCCGACTAGATAAAGGACAATAAAATTATAACACCAATAGTATTAACACCGCCAGAATAAGTAAATTTTACAAAAAATTGATAAAGAATAATCATGATATTTTTGACCGAGCTATTCCAAACTTCTGTCATGTAGCACAATTTTATTCAACCACAGTTAAATTATAGAAGATTAACCTAACGTGATTCCATTTGACCAATATCCCAGCTTACTCTTATAATCCCTAGGAAAAATGACGGTGATACTTTTCTTCCAAATAAAGTGATTTGTGTCGGCGTGGGCTACTAAAGGGTGGATCTTCAACAAAGAGAGTTTGAACATATACGTTATCTCCCACTTAACTGAACCAAACCAAACAATTCACTACATTCCACATCGAAGACTGAGTGAGGGAGAAGCGTTACAAACAGCGAGATAACTCCATACATACTCCCACTATCCTGGTTTGACTTCCGAGTGTGACAATGCTGCTTTGTAGTTACCGTTTATTAGTGTTAGTAAGTAAGCTACAACGTAGGACCAGGCACACATATGCATCGATTCAAGTTGCCATACCTCATTAGCACAGCAAGATCAACACCAAATTCATAGAACTAGCTGATTTAACGGTGGCAATATATCAAAGAAAGATTGTATATAAGGATATAGTACAGCAAGAAAGAAAGATATGAAGCAATTTTAATCTCATGGTTTAAGGGAAGACAAACAGTGTATACACCTACGCCATTGTGATCGATTCTGACCCATATCACACACAGTTTCCAACCATTGGTTACAATAGTCACGCGGACCCCAACCAACTAGTCTGCATCTACCAACATGTCTCAGACTAGAAGTTAGAGACTTCAAGCATTGATGCCACCTTTTGGTTTGGTCGCCCCTAACTCTCTTCCAACCACCCCATATGCTAGTCAGCATTGCGCGTCGTGGTAATCGGTGTTCAGGCATACGTAACACATGGCCCAACGACGCGTTCGACTAATTCACCCCCTATCCTTAGTTCAGGTGTTGATGCGGGCCAGTCCTAGGGCAACAATTTACATTTAGAGGGGGAGAAATGCTTTCCAAACATCCTTGCATTGTTACTCAATACTATCAAAACACTCTGCACTTTGTCACTGTCTTCACCAAACAGGACTATGTCACCTGCCTGTTCTAAGTCGATGTGTGGACCTCATGCTGGGAGATCAATTCCTGAAAATTCAGTCGACGAGAGCGTTATTTCCAGCAGTAGATCTATGATGAAATTGAACAAAAACGGAGATAATGGACAGCCGTACCGGACACCACTTGATGTTGTAAAATTAGTGTAGCCTAGCTATCACGTGTTGATCTTATTCTAGGATGCTACTTACTCTGTACAACTACTGATTGTTATTTATCCCACTAATTACTACTGGACTACCCACTCGTTGCAGACAGTTTCTAAATAAACAAAATTCTATTACATTAGTAAGTCCGATAGTCTAATTGCCACAGTTAAACAGTGACGTAAAAACGTCGAAAAGGACTGAAGACTGTTCAGTGAAATTTACTCTAAATAATTTTTATCAAAGAATAACATTAACTAGTTAAGGACTACATGGTTGCAATTTCTTAACTTGTGATTTTCCTAAATGAAGAAAAAAAGTCGGTTATTTAACATTAATCCTGCCCTAACACAATTCACAAGCTTCAATATATTATTGAAAGGTCTCTTGATCTGTAAAAGTCAAATAAATTGGAAGAGAAGCAATTGGCGAGTGTATCTCGTCCTACTAGAGTCCATTTGTAACATAACATTTCGGATTGATTTAGCAACGAATATATGTGGAAAGCCATTATCTGATTCACACTGTAAATGTCTTATTCTATTTGAATTGGTTCATTTAGTTCACTATTTTAAAACATCCACCACGAGCATGTAGTTAGAAACCATACAGTAAAAATTAAATACATATAATAAGTATTTGTACTGACTTACTGAGACAAAAGAAAGCAAAGCAGTACTGTAAAACAACATCACGCCAGAAAATGAGACTATTTTCTTCTAGATTATTAGATAAAACTGAATCAGATCGTGGTTTACTGATTGTAAATAATAAATCATCCAAGGCATCTTGACAAACAGCAGATAATAAACGATCTGCGACCTAAAACAAGATGAAATCTTATAAATAACCACAACAATAATAACCATCTATAAATGTTGATTATTCCCCGAATTAACTAATTAACCATTAAATGATTTCTCAAAAATGTCACAATACCTGATCCTAGGCTGTCTCAGTAAGATTGTCAGTAACGTTAGTGACTGCGGTGCTGAATATTATATGTCAAATCAATGACAGGATCAGCTTCTTAAAAGCAGAAGAAATGTTTTGTGAACTCTGTCAAACCAAAAAATATCAAATTCTTCTTTATTACGCTATAAATTTGTGTACTTGATAAGTCGGGTGAAGCAGCTGAAACAATCTAATCAGATCCAACACAATTTGGATAATACTACGCTTCTGTTAGTATTAGCTATAGGTTAGGGAAACTATCTTTTATAATAATACTGGTGTACCCTATCTTATCTCAAATCATGTAACTGAATATAAAGAGTTCAACTGGTTTCACAGGTAGAAACGATGATACACCGATCCAATTAAATAGATAAGTGAAATACGCTAAAGTGTGGATGCTAGTGGTCATGGTTTAGCAAAACTTCTCGAGGAAAAAGACAAGCACCATTAGTTGAAAATATGGACTAATTTTCTGGGGGATATGTATCTATAATTGTGAACGAGTTGTGCATATATTTCAGACCCAGTTTAGCTAATAAAGACTTTTTACTCACACTTGGTTTTTTCATCCACGTATTCAATTGGGTTCGTATATAGGAAGAATATAAAATCAGTAACAAGCTCAAATGACCACAGAACATAACAAATGCTTCGCATAAAGCCACACTAATCATAATGAAAATTAATGAAAATTTTACTTCCGGTCCCAAGACCGGGTAAAGAAGTAGGGTTGGGCATGAGGTTATCGACCCATCCCGTAGAAAAACTAACCCACTAAAAAAACGCTAACCAGAAAAAAATAATTCATGAATGAAAATATTACATTAAAATAAAAATTAAATTTCAAAATATATACAGAATACGCTTACTTCGAGTAAATTGAAAAAAATATAAATTTTTATCACCGATTGTGTTCTTATTTCATGATAAGCCATGGAACTGTCATATTTTGTTAAAATAACAGTACATATACATAATAAAGAAAATTTGATCAGATCACGTAATTCATAATTATACAGTAAGGTTAACCGTGATGTCTTCGATGAAGGTGTATCACTAAAAAAAAAGAAAACAAATCAAATAATCAAATTAAGTTCAATATATATAGTGACTACCATATTTTTAAATTTATTAACTAATGTAGATCGGAAAAATAATAATATTTAAAAACTATATGAACAAAGGTAAAGAGATAATGGAAATAACAATATTAGTAGTAAAACTGACTGGGACTTATTGTGCAAGAGTGTAATCTTTTCGCAGAGTCGAAAAACCACGAAGTATCTCAGTCATCAACTACATATTTGTATGCTTTACTTTGAGACATATTTTACGTGCGAGGGATAATGATACAATCCAGTCGCTCAAAATAAAATAAGTAGAGCGGATTTCGAGCCTACAACTTAGTGGTTGAAAGTCAAATGACCTAACCATTAAGTCACTCCCATCTTTGATGCCGTAGTTACGTTAGTTCGGTTGTACATATTCATGTCTACAACACATCAGTGAGAGCAGTCCTCCTGTATGCTTGTGAAACCTGAGTTGAGATATTCGGCGATCTTTTATGTTCGATTATCGTTGTATCCAAAGAATTTCCGACATCCAGTGACAACACTATTTTAGTAATTCTGAGGTTCAGCAATGAGTTTTCGGGTAAAGTGACAACTTAATAGGTGTAACCGGACTCGACAACTTGGGAATGTCTTACAAACATTATTCCAGTGACCCCCACGCCGGGCACTATCTGTCGACACCGAGACGCAGTGGAGGGAGTGAAGAGGTGACCAATTTATGGTATGGTATAGTGGTATGGATTAAAAATGTCCAGTATTGGCATCTGTCAGTACAACAAGACTCCTCAGTTTGGGAGATCCAAGAGATGTGATTCAGTAGTTTGAGACGTTATTGGATATGGCTCATAATAGGAGCCAAAGGCGTTTCTGTTGTGTATTTTTTCACATCCTTTATGAAAGTGAAAGGGATTTTTTTCGACTTGGGAAATTTTTTCTATAATTGGTATATAATTCCCATTTAAACATTAAAATTAAAACACAGATTTCAGCGAAGGGATCTCTTTTCAACGAATTTATTATCAAGCTGTACAATCGTATATATATATATAGTACTTTAACAAAACATTTTCATATATATATATATACGATTGTACAGCTTGATAATAAATTCGTTGAAAAGAGATCCCTTCGCTGAAATCTGTGTTTTAAATTTTTTCTAGTTGTATTTGTGACTGAACTGTTCGCCTTATTATAAACTACTCTCGTTCACTTGTTTTTATTAATTTATTTATTCTTAGTTATACTAGTCCTCCTTCCTCTATTCCTCCGTGGTTTTATTTCATTATTTGCGTGGTGCAAATTTATGTTGGTGGACAGTTATTATTTATGTATATAAAGTAAATTTCTTAATAAACAGACCGTATTTTTTCGAGATCTATCTTAACGATTCGTTTTTGCTCAAATGAAACTAAAACTCATATCCTCAGGTAAATTGTTAACTGGAAAAACGAATACTAGCATTCAATGCATAGCAACTGCGATAATTATCAAGTGAAATAGGATGAAATTGTTCACAGATTTGTTGATTCCCCTTTCCAATCATCTTGCTAGATATTTAGAGATACACAAACGAATGGCTTGCTTCATATGATATTTCAAAATCATTCCTTAAGATCAATTAGGGATGTATACTTTTAAAATGCCATCAGCAACAGCCTACTGTGGGATGGAACAAACTAGCTTCCAAATGAAGGGGAAATTCGGAAAAAACATTGGAAGTGGATAAGACATATGTAGCGGAAATCGTCAAACTGAATCACGAGGTAAGAGCTAACTTGGAATCCTGAAGGGGGAAGGAAAAGAAGAAGGCCAAAGAACACACTGCGCTGGGAATTGGAAGCAGACATCGAAAGAATGAATTGCAGCTAGAAAGGATTGCCCAGGAAAAAGTTTGATGGAAAATGCTGGTTGATGGCTTATGCTCCTTCACGAAGGGTAACAGGAGTAAGTAAGTATATTTGAAATGAGTTAGTTGATCAAAAGTATCGATTTACTTTTCGAGAACAAACAGAAATTGCAAGGTACTAAGTTTGGTGGTGGTTAAGGATGGCGATCAAAAGTAGTGATCAAACCGTAAGTAAAAAATTCGAGGATATTGACTGCCTTTGTACAAACATATCTACTTGGTGCAGGAGACATTTACCAATGTTTCACGCTATCTAACCAGTCTATCTAAACCTCCGATAGAAAGCACAATTCACTGTTCTTCAGTAATAAATTTATGATGTTTAACACCATGAGCATTGAAAAATGAGCAAGTACGGTATATCAGTTCATGTGTTTACTGTACTTTAGTGTTTGGACTACCAGTTTACAGTATAAGCACAATGAGATGTAAGTAGTTATATGAGCATTTCTTCAAATTAAACTGTAAGTAACAATATATATATATATATATATATAGGTTCTGATTAATAGTGGCTTGGTAAATTGGAAGTCTACATTACAATATTAATATTACACAGATTATACGGGTTTACACTATTAAGGTTATTACCGGTTTAAATCCATACATACATGACTGAAAGTTATTAACCATGAGATATGAAGAAATGAAGTTTTATCCTTCTAAACAGTGAAATGGGATAATTAGACGATTCTGTTGATTGAGCAAAACAAACACATATAAACAGGTGGCTATCTACAGAATGGTTTGAACTTATTTTTTTTTACCAAAACATTTCATTAATTTCCCCTCTTTCAGCTAGTGTTAGGTGTGAAATCTGAACTGATATACAGTAGTGCTACGATTAACGTTGACTACTAATGGTTTCCAGATCATTAATCCATACATGCAAAAAGACAATACAAAAAACGATATAAAACTTTTATATCGTACCTCCGATGATGTAGTGTAAAATTACATAACAAAACCATGAACTTGAAACTCGTGATAAAACTAAATACTTCAAACAATGTACACCTATTATCGATGTATAAATAAAAATCACCTCTAATATAAATGTACTTCAGGTCCAAATAGAAGGAACTTACTGGTATTGATTAAAAGATGTAAAAAATTGAAATATTCCACTGGATATTCTTATCATTAAATTTAATCCAGCGAGAAAACAACGTAATGGAAGAAATGTATAAATAACCAGTAAATGATCCAAACACTGCAACATCCCATAAGCCATAAACTAAATGAATACAGTGAGAAATTATACAAAAAATCGAAGTATAATTACACCAAAAACACCAGTGTATACTATAAAAATAAAACTTAATAAACTAATCAACTTGAAATCATTCAATGTTTAAAAAATAAGAAATGTGGAGATCTTTATGTTAATCTGGACCATATTTGGAGCCTTCGCTACGTTAAAATGCTTGTAAAAGGTTTATTATATGAATATCTAGCAGATTGGTATTAAATGCCTTACCAAATTAAGGATGTCTTGCGACTCATTGTGTTCGGTCATCTTTGCCTCCATAAGACTGGTCGAATTCGGTAGCAACAGGATGCAAGTATTTGCAAAGTCTGGGTATGTGTTCAGATATAGTGACGATAAGTCAGTTGGTGATATTATCGTGGATTACGCAATGTGAAATAGCTCAAACGTTGCCTACAACCGTTACCATAACGTGACTACAGAATATATATATATATATATATATATATATATATATATATATATATATATATATATATATATATAAATGACTACAGAAGTATACTATAAAAACCACAGAGTATCGTTCGTAGTAGGTATACAAGTACGGTATTCTGCTATCAAAAAAATAGTCTGCTTGTGGTTAACCGTTATTTTTACAGGGCAAGCGATATCACAATAATTAACAATGAAAAGAACTAAAAATTAAGACTACATGAAAAAGGCATAAAACATCTGACTAACATATATACACTGAAGATACACAAACTAACGTGTTAAAGAATAATTTCCCAAATTTTCCATTTTCCTTATTTTACCTGCCACAATAACGAATGTCACAAAGGAAAAGTGTGGAAAAAAAATCTAAACAAAATGAAGTGTAAGATAGAATATATTGGAGCATTGTATAGCTAACACTTAAAGAATGTCAACAAACCATGGGTGGGAGATGGAACTAAATAGAACTAAAACTATTGAACTATGACAAGTCAATCACGGCTGCTGTGAAAGATCAAATAGATTCATATTACAAAAAAAAGAGAAATCTATTTAGAATTTTTCAGTGAAGCATGAGAATGTACTTCATACAATGATATCTCCAATCAGAGATGAGTGTGGGGTATAGTCGCCATATTGAAGTGCTTAAAAAGGAATTCTCCCAACGTTTAAAGATCACATAGTGTTCAAATCGCAATGTAGATTGCTGGCTGTTTTATTTGGTATGACAATGAGGTGGCTAATTATTGTCTTCAGATAGAGTAAATAGACGTATAATTTAACAGTACTCTGAGTTATGGCTTCAAAGTTACGATATTTACTGACTTTTGCTTATTACTAACAGGGAATGTTTCACAATCTGTTAAGATTTGCACGTACACAGTTCAAATTTCCAATATCCTTATATACAACCTTTCTTAATATACTACCACCATTAAATTAATTACTTCTATGAATCCGGTGTTCGTCTTGTTGTGCTAACGAGGTATGGCAACTTGGACCGATGCATATATGTGCCTGGTCCTACGTTGTGACTGACTGACTGACTGACCAGTACTAGCAACGAGATTGACTGAGGTCTTAGGTAGAATCTGGGAACTGGACGTAATTCCATCTGACTGGTCCCAATCACTGATTGTGCCAGTCTATAAGAAAGGACAAAAGTCCTCCTGTGACAATCATAGAGGAATCAGTTTGACCAATATAGTGTCTAAAATATTAGCTTCAATAATACTTAGGCGCCTAACCAAAGCTCGTGAAGAGCAGATTAGAGAAAATCAGACTGGTTTCCGACCTGGACGTGGTTGCATAGACCAGATATTCACTCTACGTCAGGTCCTAGAACATAGACATGCATTCAGATGTCTCACAATAGTAGTGTTTCTTGACCTTAAGGCGGCATTCCACTCCGTTGACTGTGAGGTTCTATGGAAGTGTTTGTCAGTGAAAGGAGTACCAAATAAGTACATTAACCTCATAAAGGCTCTCTACTCGAACACAACTGGTCGAGTTAGAGCCTATGGCGAACTGTCATCAGAATTGATTACCTCAAGTGGTGTTCATCAAGACTGTTCACTCTCCCCATTCTTGTTTAACTATGTCATTGACATGCTTTTAGAGATAACACTTTCATCATCTCAATCTCCAGGAGTTGGACTTTAACCAGGAGGCTCACTTGTTGGCTTAGAATACGCCGACGACATAGTTTTATTTGATGAGGACGCTGGCAACATGCAGAGTCTTCTGACCACCATAAGCAACAATGCAGGCATGTGTTCTACCAACTTCTAATCTTCTGAATTCCTAATGTCTTTATGTTTTTCTCTTTCCAAATTTATTTCACTGTATTATACTCCTTCAATAACATCTTCAAACCCTAATCTTTCACATAATGCTTATACTCTTACTACTTCTACCACTATGGGATTTGAATCAACAACTGCATGTCTGTGCTGATGTGGTATGGCAAATCGAACTGATGTACGTACGTACGAAGTTCTACGTTGTAACTGACTGACTGACTCTCTAGGTATGAAATTAGTAGCTCCATATTTATATTTAAACTTAAGATGTCTAGAGTCAGTAGCACGTATTACCACAAGTTTACTTTGTAAATGTATTCAAAACTCTCTTACATCCCATTGTTACACTAAAATCAAAGGTAATGTTTCTTAATAGTGTCATAAACTTACATTGGGGTTCATAAAGGGGATGACCAGATAGGTATCAAAATTACTGTTCAAGAAAACTCATCCTTGGATAATAAGACTTTCATATCAATCAAAATCAAAGCTGAAACAAATACCTTATATTTTAAGTGACTATTATGATCATTTCGTTCAAGAACTAACAAATCCGGATACAGAAGTTTCGAAACAATTTTAATGATGAATTTACGTCGAATGCATGAAAACAACACACATTATTATTATTATTATATTAGTAGTAGTAGTAGTGGTGGTGGTAGTGATAGTAGTAGTGTGGTCTACTTATATCCATATAAGTAGTATATGGTGTGGGTCAGACTTGGAATGTATTTTCGCAGAAGACCGATGAGCAAAGAACTGAAATGAAGCGCAATCGTTTGGAAAATGCATGAGCAATGGAATTAGAGAAGAAACAGTGAAGATTGAAACAATTGGTTGTTATTTTGCAAATTGACTGTTCATTGTTTGGTTATCAGAATTTACTGAGATAGTCTGTAATGTTTGCTTAAATACATTCGATTGTCCCCAACCAGTGTTCTGTTCACTACAGTAGTAGTGGTAGTAGTAGTAGTAGTAGTAGTAGTAAGCTTACGAGTATAGAAACAGTCTGTAGATTATATACGAGATCAATTCCTGAAAATTCAGTCGACGAGAGCGTTATTTCCAGCAGTAGGTCTATGATGAAATTGAACAAAAACGTAGATAATGGACACCCGTACCGGACACCATTTCAGGTTATAAAATAATATGACAGTTCGCCATAAGCTCCCACTCGACTGGTAGTGTTCGAGTAAAGTCTTCACAAGGTTTACGTTCTTCTGAGGTACACTTTTCAATGTCAGACATTGCCACAGAACTTCTCGGTCTACAGAGTCAAATGCTACTCTCCAGTCAAGAAAAACTATCATTGTCGGACGTCGATAAGCATGCCTGTGTTCTAAAACCTGACGAATAGTGAATATTTGATCGATACAGCCACGACCAGGTCTGAAGCCAGTCTGATTTTCTCGTGTTTGCAGTTTACGAGTTTTAGTTAGGTGCCCGATAATTATTGAGGCTAGTATTTTAGATGCTATATTAGTCAAACGAATCCCTCTATGGTTATCACAGGATGACTTTAATCCCTTCTTATATATTGCGATAATAAGTGATTGTGACCAGTCGTATGGGATTACGTCCAACTCCCAGATCTTAGCAAAAATATTAGTCAGCCTAATCGTTAAAATTTTACCGCCATGCCTAAATGTGAACTCAGTTGTTCCTGGAACTTACTTTTGACTTTCTCTTCCCCCAATTCAATTCTAATGGGTTATCTTAGTGTAGTTTTTCTGCGTCCAATGAGGCACAAAGAAAATTCTTGCACGTATTAAAGCGTGATCAGAGTCTAAACATGTATTTCAGTACGAGCGACAATCCTCTATCAAGCCTCTCCAGTGATGAGTCATGCCAATATGGTCTGTTTGAGTCCATCGTTGGTTTGGTTTCGAATCTCGCGAGATGGGATCGTGGATGCACACTGCTGAGGAGTCCCACAATAGAACGAAACGACCGTAAAATGCTTCCAGGTTTTCCAAGGTGGTCTAGCTTCAACTGACTAATGATTTCAACTATAAAATTACTAAAATCTCCACAAAATCCCCTTCTGATAAAGTTTTTAAGTGAAAAAATGCTATCGTTTTACATTTGACATATTCCTAATTAATGGATATCATTAAAACTAGTAAAATACAATTAAATATATGACGTGGTGATTAGAGGTGGTCGACAGGAAACTCCGTGGTAATCTGTCCAGGGTTTCCTGTCGACTACATCCAACCACTATTTCATCTCAACATAGTACACGCTACGTCGAGTCACCTAAACTAGTGGCTACATTGCGACTTGGCCGATGGAATTCAGTTTGCACTAAGAATGACCTGACACACATGACATTGACCACTATCCAGTGGCCAATCAATTGTAAGCAACTAAATATACTAAGAAAAATCGTCAGAATGTGTACAGTATTATTTGAAAAAACTGTTGAGAAATTTTTTTATAGCTAACTTGCGTTACCAGAAAGAAATTACTTGTTCTCTAAAGAGGTAGCTTATACTAAGTCAATTTAATCTTGCATTATTTCCCATCATATGCTTTTCACATGGTTAATTTCCTCTTGTTAAAGTGTGGTGACATAAACCGGTACAAAAGTGTCACGTTCTGTTGTGTTTTTGATTGCTTATAGCTTTGATAACCAGAAAAAAATCCGATGTTTATTAAATCTTTCTGTCTCCTGTATTTCCAACGAATACATTTTGTATATTAGTGTATTAGTGTTTAACAACCATGATCTCCATTTTTACAAACTTGAAAAATGAAAAGTACACATACTTACACATGCTTAAGATCATTTTTTAACCATCGTGGTTATACGCAATGTTTTCTACAGACGGTCGAGAAAAAGTGGAAGGCCCAAAACAAATGCGTACTGGCTCATGTGGTCATACTTTATATTAACATAGAGGGAGAAAATCAATAAAATGAGAGGCGTAGAAGAGGAAATAACAGCGGTGTTAATGAATATATCTCATACGATAATAAAGCTTTATTATAAAAAAGGGAATCAGTGAAAAATTATCAATCTTAGTTAAACTACCGATTCTAAATATCGAGGAATTGTGACAAATGTATACGCACGATTGGTAAATGGACCACATTTGCTCGTACCATCTTCATATTGTTTCTTTCTTATCGACTGAACAACCTCTTCCTTCAAATATCGAGTAAATTTGAAGTCTACATTTGAAAATAGGCAGAAGTACAGGTGAATATGTTTTACTTTTAACTGTAGTGGGAAATACTACATAGATATGAACAGTTGGAAATAGTTCTGTTCATACATATAATTCATGTGGTCAAGTTATTTGAAAATGTACGTCCTTTGGTAATCATTAACTAATATGTCCTATCTTGATATTAGTCGACTATTTTTCTGTGTAGATTATTATATCTTAACTGTTAAACTTAAAATTATGAACTGAGCACCTAAAGAGAATTCCAGTTGTTTCGCTTCACCAACTGTCATGTGGATTTTATTAGTTCACTTTTCAAGTAACTGGCTTATAGCAACTTTAAGAAGTTCTCATCAGTAGCGGAAAGTTCTGTCAACTATGTAACAGTTAGTTGTAATTATCTCTAATAAGTTTGTCTTGTTTTCACCAGACCCTCAAAAAAGGGACCTAAGATTAGTTGATTTTTTAAACACCTTATCAGGAGCAAGTTAAGCTCGGATTTATAAAAGTATTTATAGATTTTTTGCAATACTAGTTCACAGGAGCCTAGTGAACTGAATACACCATAAGTGACAGCAATATTTAATGAAAATCTGCCACTGGAATTTGATGTAACAAGCCACTAAAACGGGTAAGACTAATAATCATAATTTGCCAGATTATAAGTAGATTTTACTTCGGCAAAATAACGAGGGACGCAGAAGATACTGTTCTGTCAGCTAACTCAGATAACTGTTTTACTCTAGTTTCCATCTTAAAGTAGTTATTTTGGCCAATAAATTAGAGGTTAATATCACCAAATTGTGAAGTACATTTTACGAGATTCTCAAGTGACGGTGGCAAAGTTATGAAGCGTTTGAAATAATCAAGAAGTTAATGAGCATTCATGTTACAGATAAGATTAATCTCAGTATAGCCAAAACTAAAGAGACAAAAGTGAAACCAAATCAAATTAGGCATATTCAAAACTTCAGTCTTGTAGTGAAAGATCTAGCCTACAATATTATGGGGTGACCTACTTTGAACCTTATTTCTCCTACCTAAAACTGTTTAATGTTTATGCCTATTGTTTCTGGCTCCATGGAAACACTTTGGAAATAGCATTTAAGTTCAACAATGTGTATTTAGGCATACCGAAAAATGTTCGCTAATATATGAAGTCGTCTTTAAACGCCATCTCTGACTGCTTGGGTACATTTTAAGTATGATTATTTGGTTAGATTTAACACGAGACCCATAATACGAACTGCTGAGACATCTAACTATAATGGATTCTGACCGTTTAAGGTAATTATTTAGACGATATAAACCCATAGTACGTATTCTCTTTTATGTATATTTCATGCTCTGCTACGTCTAGAATAAATCAATAATAAAGAGTTTGTGACTATAAAGATATTAACGTATTTTAGTGACATACTTTTAAAGGGATCGTGAACCTCCCAATCACCATCGGATTCAGACGACTGTTGAACAAACTCATTGAACATCCGAGTGATAATTCAGTTTAGCTATAGTACCTGGTAAAAAAGAGTATTTAGTAAAGTAATTCATTTTTTCGAGAAGTTGAATATGAAGAGTACACCATACACAACTTCTGAACGTTTAGTTAGGATTTTTACATTATCCTTATAGAAATCAATTATTCTCCGAAACAACCTCCGCATCATTATATGAAAGCAACGCTCAGCTTGAAATATAATTTAGGAATTCAAGAACATTGACGGATTTGAAACAGCCATTTAAAAAAATATCCGAGTGTAGGTGACATTTTTATCTAACCCTATTAAGAGCGATTATCACACGGACCAAACACGATTTTGCATAAAATTTCCGGTAACTTGAACCTATGATAAGCTGGTTACCAACAAAATCATATGGAGAATCTAAAGCGCTCGACCGAGTTTTCGGAGAGCAAATATATATATATTATGGTATCGTACATGATAATGGGTTTTGGCCATATATATAAATATAAAAGGGTGTCGAGTGGTCAACACGAAAAATGGCATATTATGGGACTGCTGAAGATCTCCATATCCTAGATATATTTCAGCTGAGAAATTCTTTCTTTGAGTAGTTGTTTGCTTCCATTAGTTTTGAAGTGTATCTACTTAGGATAATAAACTAAAGATTCATATTCTATACTATTCTAATCGGCCAAAAGTAAGAAGTAACTTTTGCACCGAAGTTGACAAGTATAACGTGTGGAACAATACCATATTCAAGACTTTAAGACATAACGAATGAACGTAACAATGTGAACAACCTTAAGCTATATTAGTCTCAAAGTATATATTATGGTTTAATCACAGATACCGACAACGCCTATGCCTATATAAAGAGCTAAAAGTAACAGCCACTGACTACATATATTAATATCATACCTTGGGCTAGTCATCCCTAATCTCTAAATTACTACTATAATAGCGCTCTGAGGTAACAGATGGCTAGGGATGAGTGATAAATCATGGTTAACTGTCTAAACAAGATGTTTACTACCCTTATCTGCTGCTATACCTAAAATTACTTGTTTGGTGGTTTTGTTGTGCCCAAGCAATGCCTGCAAGACTAGTTGGATCAAAAAGAAGCAATTTACAAACATTCTTATAGGGGGCATACTATGTAGTCGTGAATAAACAAATAAAAGACTTCTGCGCAGTATCCTCGATCTTGTCTGGTACACAAGCGGTGTCGTTCGGAAGAAGCTAAGCAGATGTCCTACGTTGTTGTTGAGAATTTATCAACAACCAACCCAGCAGGATGATAAAACTCCAAATATTAGTGGGATGGTCATGGTGTTCAACTAGCCATTATACACATAAACAAGTCATCTATGTAGAAGGCCTGTCAGCCACGGTTTAGGCTTAAAAGAGAAACGTATCTTAAACATTTTTATGTTGATACTTCAAATGTTCGGAAGACTGACTGTTTTCAAGGACTTTATCTAACAAAGACAGGTCATTTGCCTAAGCCAGGCGATAAGAGCCTATGAGCAAGAGATCTTTTTCTGGGAAACTAGATAATTTAAACGTCACTTCTAGGGATGTAACAAAAACGAAATGAGAAAAACCGGAAAGTGATGAGTCTTAACGGACACTATTAACGTAGCGAATTAAAATGGCGATTAAGTATAAGAGCCAACCTAGCACCATTTTAGTAACTTACTAACTGATTAAGTCGAACGACACATACAAGTTATCTGACCTGGTGGTCGATGTATCCACGATCACGGATGAAACTTACCTAGTTCTTCCAACTTGCGGATTGTTATGAAATTCAAAGCGTTAGAAGCCATATCAGTCAGAATGAATCCGACCTACTTTATACAACAAAATCGGTCATTCTTTAGAAACCGTACAGTCTCCTGCTCTGATTTTAACTTTCAAGCATTCAGATGATATGCTGGAACACTCAAGACAGTCAGTCGGAATGGTAATACAAAAGTTTAGGCATCAAAAATAAGGTGTAGATTAGTGAAATAAAGAAAATCACGGGGAATTCAACTTAGAATCCGAGGCAAGATAAAGAATAGGTGCATCCGTGCCACCGCAAACCATTTTGAGCCTTGCAATCCAACTTCGATTTAAAAACTTTCGTCATGTTATAAATAGAAATCGGCAGATATATTGCAGTGAAAAGGAAAAACAAACAAAGCATATGACAACTGGCAAGCTGAAACTGAGAAAATGAGACAGTTGTAAGTTCATACATCAAAATCTCAAATAGACAATGTCAGTGCCTTAGAAAATTTCCAGACAATTTCAGCCAAAAAAAAGATTGCTAACAACTAGACAGTCAAGCTGTATTTCCGTTTGACGGTCCAATCTAAGCACGCAGAATGTAGTTGAGCCTACCACTAACTCCTAATAGTAAAATGAATCAGCAGTCTAAATACTAATGCTAAAAAATAGAATGAATAGTTAATTTTACCACTAACAATCACAAGCCCCCAAAAAAATAAAAATGGGCAGTTAAAACATATATTTCAGTTAGATATTACAATGCAAGCAAAAATTATAGCACAGACGTCCATTAATTTATAATTACTGGCCAGCTTGGTTTCTAAGGAGTACATAAACTTGTTCTTTGATCCAGTTTTTATGATGTGGAACATATGTGTATGTAGATTCATGAAAAACTAGACAACTAAGGTCAGCCAACTGATCGATGAACTGGAAAAGTTGGGATATGTCATAAGTGATAGTAGGAGCATTAGGTTTTTCACGTTTTAGCTGCTCTTCATATATCTTGCATACACCCTCCAAACATTGCTCTACAGTTTCATAATCCGACCATGTACGAGTATCTGGTTTTTTGACAGAAGGCTGTACAAGTAATATTGTGTGAGGCATCTTGAAACCTAAAGGAAAATAAAGTGGTTAACAAATTTCCTCTCTAAAGGAGAAGTGAAAAGTTTAGTAAAGTTTTAACTAGTATATTTGTGAACTACAGAAGTACAGAAATAAGTTAGGTAGTTCAAACTGTTTAAAATCATTTCATAATCATTTCATTTTATAATCATGTGGTATATCCAGAGTTTGTATATGACAGAAATTACAGTAAATACAAGTCAGATTTTTATCCGTATCATACTAGTTCAGATGAAAACGCCAATGATCATAAACAGCACAACCCCAAGTAACAGTAACCCAAGGTGGTAATCTTGACAAAAAATCTGAGAGTGGAGGAGAGCGAGTAGAGACACCTTCATCAACATACAGGCCAGCAATAGCTACGTCAATATAACTTGACTGTGATAGTACTTCCTGGGATTCAAAAACAACCCAAAATGTCCACGGTGTTTCCCATAAGACCCCATGTTCACCAAACGCTGCTGCATTCAAATGGTATAAAAAATAATGTTCACCTTTGTTGCTTGGAATATCGCTAATTAATGGAGGAGGGAGTGGCATAGATGAAGGATACATTGCAGTCGATGCAAACGACCATGCAGTTAACTTGGTATAGTTCCCATCTGTACGAATTAAGATATGAGTATGGGGAGGACCGGAAACTACAGAGAATGTAAAGTTCCAACTCAAGCGACCATTTGGTAAGTAATTCATTAACAATTTGCGTGACAGTAACTTTAAATTTACATTTGGTTCTATTTTGTGAAATTCAGCAGGAACACGATAAAAATATCTGATGATATGAAGAAAAGGATAAACAGAGGCTACACCACAATAAGGTTGACTGTAATTGCACACCGCGGGTTCTGCATCAACAAGCTCTTTGATACCTTTGAATTTTGACTGATTATGCTCGTTTGAATTCATAAATAATCTAAGTGCGGACATAGGGTAAGAATTAGGTGTCAGATATCGAATACCATTCGCATCAATAGGGACAATTAGGATATGACTTTCTTCCTCTGTGATCTCAGGAGAATCTGGGATATGCCGAAGATATCTGTTGGTATGGAAAACAAACAGGCGTTGATACCTTGGGCTGACAAGAGGGTCTGAAAAATTTGGAGACGGCTGGATACTGTATGGAAAGCCGTAATTCGATGCATGAATAAGGATTGTATACGACAAGCAAGCATTTAGCAACATCAAGGAAAGATATTTACTCCCAGTTCTTGAGGTGCATTGTAGCCGTCCTAGAGATGGAAGCATCACAGGCAACATGATAATAAATATACAACAAGAAAGGAATAAATCTGGTTTAATGGAGTTACCTGAACGTCCCATAATCGGTATCATAAAGTTAAGAAATAGATTAAGGTTATAAGTATGTATTGAAACAATGGCTATGAATGAAACAAAACGAACGGTCTGACAAAGCTTTAGTTTAATAGATGAGGCCTTTCGAATGTCAGACATCTTAAATATAAGCCCAAACACAACCCAGAATGTGTAAACGTATGATGAAGGAGCATTAATTGAAGACAACAAAAATGACTGAAGTGCTATTAAAAATACACTAGAATCAAAAAAGTCGGTTTCTAAAGAATAGAAGTAATCCAAAGCATTGTGCTGCCATATCCTTGAAAAGCGATTAGAAATTCCAAGAAACTTAAATACAGAACCTTCGGGTATTTTGAATAAGTAAGTCTGAGACCATACGAACCACCAGATTACAGGTAGAACAAACATACCCACAATATTATAGTGATTTGAATACCAAACCATTCTGCAACCGTAATGGTGATACAAAAGCCCAAGTACGACTGAAAAGACGAAGCCTAGTAATGTGGTAATTACTTGCACCAATAAAGCGGCAACGAATCTACACCACCGGACGTACACAAGTCGTCTGGCTCTAAATATCAGGAAGCACAAAAACAAAAACAATAGATGGTTGACAGTTTTCCAGACTCCCCACGGAACGATTATCACAAAGGTACCAAACAAATCAAAATACACATTTCGAACAGTTGCCGATCTAGTGACCAGTGGAGGGACACTGTTTCTACCCAACGGTGAACCTGAAGCTGAGACACGCAGCAATGTTTCTGTATGATTTATCGGAGTCAGTTTGATGAAACCTTGTATTCTTTCATCTTTGGCAATCAACTGAACAAAACTCAATATATTGCATCCCAACAGTCGAAGACAACGGTCCGAAATACGAGACTCTGTATCATAGGGAGTGTGATAAACGTACCCATCTTGTATATACGCAAGATCTAACCCTGGAACAAGCCCATAGTCACGAAATATTCTGTAATCTGTGTCCGATAGCACTAGTCCAAACTGGAACAAATCTTCCCCCAGAACACTGGCCAATGGTTGTTTGAAAGAATTTGCATAAGCTTCGAGTAAAACATCTGATGACGGACCAGGACCAGATTGAAAAAGGAAAAGTCGTTTAGCAGCACCTGCCCCTTCTAAATTCATAAAAGCGACGATGTCAGTGGCCCACTTGTGTTGCGTTATAAAAGCATGACTGCTAAGCAACATGCTTTCCTCAGCCCCATTGAAAAGAAATATAAGATCATTAAAAAGAATAAGCGAACCTGTCGCCAATATACGACAAACTTCTAACATGACAGCGCAATTAACAAACGCATCACTAGCGCCAGGACTCCCGGGGGCTGTATCGTAATGACAGTTAATAAGAAATGCTAATTTGCTATCGTTACCACCTTTGGCACGTAGGTCATGAAAACGAAGAGCAAAGTTCCGAACATTATTGTATGAAGAAACATGAGATAACGCACGGAAACTCGAGTAGCTAGACCTGTGTTCATCCAGCGAAACGACCAACACCGTTTTGTTAGAAACAGATTCAATTAACTTTAATTCATTCCGAAGATAGTCAGCAGCAGCAACTTCATTAGCTATGGACCCGGCTGTTCGAGAACCGATGTTGGTGACATTGATAAGGTGTGATCTAACAGATACGACGTCAAAAGAATTGCATGACGAATCGGAGCAAGACCAACAATCACTGCTGTCGTCCCAAATAATGAAGCAAGCTAGGAAAATAACTATCACGGAACACAACCAAAACAAGCTGTACGGACGATCAACGAATTTATCAGAGGTAGAATATTCAGAACATTCGCTACGTGCATATTTTAAACCTTGGTGAGCCGATGAATTGTCATCTTGTAAAGTCTTCGCCTTCCTCTGTCGAACACCACTCATTAAACAAACACACAATACTATAATGCCGCGAAACAGCAGACTTCAAGTGTTCCGCGCTCAATCCTCAATATTTGTCAAGCGGAAAGATTTTTTTTTGTATCCTGATTAGTTTCGGACAGAACTGAGAATATCACAAATTCGGGATTTTGAGCGATGGAAAAGAATACAATAGAAACACATGAATAGTGAATAAATAGTGTCAATATTATCAGAAATGGAGGGAAATATTTCATCTACAACACATCTGTTATATAAATTAACAGAAGATGGATGTAATCGATTTATAAAATACATAAAGTATCGAAGAAACGTTCAGAGGGTGTGGCTGAGTTGATCAAAAGTCTAGAAACGACGGAGGTGCGCGCTTCTTTCACAGAAATATCTGAGAAACACATCTTAAGCTACTCCGATATCAATTTATCAACAATTCAGTTGCAAATAAAGTTGCCACAGGTATTCGGACTTCGACAACACGTTTATAATCGAAAAGAGCAAGAACAAGGATTCTAGCAGTATGGCGTGAATTCATTTTATTTCGTTAGTTCTCGTCAGCTGCTTATTGTGGGGAGTAGTGTAACGTCATGTACTATATTACACCTACATAGCTTATTCTAGTTTCTGGACAAGCCAATTCACCTATAACGTTATGAGTCATATTTTGATCATATTAATTATTCCTTTATTGACCTTGACTATTTTTTTATATGAGCGTATGTGTATGCACACTTCTTATCCTACCTATCACATGTCTGTCATTCATTTTAGCCTGACTATAAATGTTGATTAATGCTTGCTTATAACGAGTTGGCTTCCCAGCCATCTCCACTCTGTTTCATCTTTCCTTCGCTTGCTTACATTTGCTAATGTGCTCACTGCCTTCTAGCCCATGTTAGTTATCAATAAAATTGTAGATGCTGCTTCCCTTTGTCTTCTGATATTATACACCGTTCAGATTGTTATAATAACGGTTATTAACGAAGCACTACACTACATATTGGTAATCCCGACGTACGAACACGCAACACAATTGGCGATCCCGAATTACGAACGCGAAGCAAAGTTGGCAATCTCAACGTACGGCTACATATTGGTTAGCCCTACATGCGAACACGTAACAAAATTGGATGCCTCGCCGAACGAACACTCAACATATTGGTTAGCTGTATTTGGAACACGCAACAGAATTGGCGACCGCAACGAGCGAACACAAACCAAAGATGGAACCGTCGACGACATATTCTGTTATGATTCAAATAATCATCATATGCTCATTATTACAATAATGTCATATAATCATCTAACGTGGAATTATTATTTTTGTTCGTATTGACATTAAACTATGACATTTACGCAGTCATATCACTAATCGAACAAATTATAATGATATGGACATTACACGTTATGATATTCGAAACTCACTGGATTATTTTTATTATCCAATGACGAAAATTTTTCCTGATTCGGGTGAGTTCGTTCCAATTTTTTTTATGTCATTTTCGGCTTAATATTGCACTCTATCATAGACATAAGTTTGGAGTCATACTCCCGATAGTAGGAACTTATGTTCTCGATAGACAACTAATGTTCATTCATCTCATCGGTACTCAGCAATCGTCGTTTTCTACTTTTTACGCGACAACCTTAACTGAGCTTCAGCAATTTTGGTTTCACGATGATCCCTACTTTAATGTCTATACATAAACCAAGTATTTGACGCCGCATTACCAGCCGATTAGTAATGATTATGTTCATATTATTTATTCATTCACATGTATATCTGAATGCTGCATCATCCATCACCGATAATCACAATTCGATTACTGCAATTAATATTTTATTTCCATTGTACTGTACACCAGAACATAGAGTTTAGAACTAGTCTCTCAAAGATACACTCTTGTTCGTCACATTCAAGTCAGTCTCACTCGCTGTCATCGATGATCATATGTATTGGTATTTTTATCATGCCTTAAAACGGTTTCGTAACAAATGAGGTTGAGCGCATATCCCTCTAACTACACAAACCACGCTAGGCTTCTAGACCAAAAAGGAATACGACTCCGCATATCTCGTCTAAGCAGTCACTATCCTGTTCCTCTGGTCATTCTACTAATACATATTTAACGATAACTCAACGCAAGCGTTAGCGCACGCTGATTTCGCATTTTATCATCATAATCAATTGCAGTACAGCAATGAATACCACCTGTTGATGCAGTCATCTTCCTACGGCTGGATTACTTCTTATCCCACGTAAACTTCAGTTATGTAAATTCGAATACACTCATCGCTAAGCGACTCTATTTACTCTACTGCGACTTATCAGAAAATCATATTTCACTGTTCTTCATTCTCATATTCAATTGGCACTACAGACCAATTTTATTATATTCTACATTACTTATTTCCACGATTTATTCCGCTGTCATACCCATAAACAATTTGTTGCTCTATTTTCACGATATTTCGAATTGCTCATACAAACATGTTATTTTATCATCCGGACAGTGACGACATAAATGCATGTTAAATTTTTTGTACGCTTACTAATTTACTCATAATCACATGCTAACATTTCCATTTCTGTCCTCATTTTGACAATTTTCATGTACATTTTCACATAAGTGTGACATTTTCGTTTAATAAACTCGCCCCTCCATTGACACTGTAACTTATTCGATATAGTACAATTTTTTCTCTCTACATATTATTAACGTAATCCATATGCCATTTCAGTGTTATTTTCAAATTAATGTGCTAATACTTTAATTTTGGTTTGTGAACGCATATACACCTCCTCCCCCTTGTTTATTTTGCATAACAGTGTTTCCTCCGGACACTCTGGGGGGGAGCTATGTGGGGAGTAGTGTAACGTCGTGTACTATATTACACCTACATAGCTTATTCTAGTTTCTGGACAAGCCAATTCACCTATAACGTTATGAGTCATATTTTGATCATATTAATTATTCCCTTATTGACCTTGACTATTTTTTTATATGAGCGTATGTGTATGCACACTTCTTATCCTACCTATCACATGTCTGTCATTCATTTTAGCCTGACTATAAATGTTGATTAATGCTTGCTTATAACGAGTTGGCTTCCCAGCCATCTCCACTCTGTTTCATCTTTCCTTCGCTTGCTTACATTTGCTAATGTGCTCACTGCCTTCTAGCCCATGTTAGTTATCAATAAAATTGTAGATGCTGCTTCCCTTTGTCTTCTGATATTATACACCGTTCAGATTGTTATAATAACGGTTATCAAGACGATCGATTAACGAAGCACTACACTACATTATAATCTGTGGTGTTGAAAATCATAATTACATAATGTGTTTAAATTGCTTACATGAAAGGGTTTGGTCGGAAGTTATAATGAAGACACAGTATAGTATAGCAAGGGTGTAAATAAATTTAATCCACTGAATATTGTAAATATATATCTTATGTAAAAGAAAATTCTATAACATTGATTGTGACAACAGTTCGAACGGCCAGAAACAAGTGATTACACAACGTGTAAACGCTGATAGGAATGAAATGAGTAAAGCTCAGTTAATAAAATAAGATTATTAATCTGGAAGTTAGTTAAAATAAAACTCAATAACGTAATAAACACAAGAGAAAGTTTAAAAAGGCGCTTAAGATGCAACGAAAGAATACTTGTCACCAAGGTAAGGAAAGATTAATAACCATTTCCTCTTGAACACGTAAGTCAGGTTTTTGACGTCTGATAGCAACGGCTTCAGAAGACGAGTTTGATTGTTTACTAATCGCCTTAAAAGTTTGCAAGGTATTGTAAGGCCAGTGAAATGTCACTGAACCCTAGCCAAATCATCCGGCAGTTGGGTCACTGAATATGGAACACGTCATCGATCCCTGTCAAGGGCAGTCAACGCGCATCAGTTAATCATACGCCATGGACTGGCCCATGCGGCAGTGGTTCTACTTTCGCTTGTATCTCCTTTAAATAATATATTCCTGTAATAACGTCCTTTGTGTTGTACAGTCTTCAGAGCATCCATGATCCATTAATACGTCGATGGGGTAATCCACGTAAGGTGCTGGTCGCGAGGTGTACTTGTCAACATTGGATTGAGTTATTGAACGTGTTGTTTTATGCAGGATTAATAGTTTGCTGCCTGATAAGTTCTAGCTAGTAGTGTTCATTCTCCTGCTGATTGTGTTTATGACACATTCACAAACGAAGTATGTCAACCTAGTCAAATCAAAAATGAAATGGTTCGCAGATATATTTCGAAGTCTATCGGTATGTCGAGAAACGTTTGGTCTAAATTGACTAGTAGTTGAGAGGGATGCGTAGCATGGTGTACCCACAAGTGATCTGATGCGGATGCATGACCGAGCAACCTCAGCTAGATGTGTCCAGTATTATTATTATTGTGTTGTATTATTCATACGTGCATACATTATTATCAAAATCGAACTTGGATGTCAACTTTTCCGACGAAGTCGCGTAAAGTGTGAAAACCTTTTAAAATGTCAGATCACGAAACGAATACAAAAAATGTGTACCCAAAGGATATCAGTACCTGAAAATTCATGATTCAAAGAGACGGAATACAAACACGCCAACGCCACATCAACTGAATGTGAGACACTAATCACCTTAATGACCTATCTACAGTTCAGCCCAATAACGAATTGTTATCAACCTTGTGTCCAAAGGCTTTTGACTGTGCACGCTCTAACCGTTCAAAACAGACCATCTTACACATACTTGCAAGTCACAAAGACGACGTTCCTGACCCACAGAATACAAAAGTGGAGGTTGTGAGCATTTATGATTGTATTTAAATTACTTTACGTTCTGATGTCTATTTCAAGTGGCAATAATTTAAGTGTGATGCCTCTAAATGCTGTCACTTACAAGATAAAATGTATCTTACTAAGAAGACAGAAATTATTAATTAATGTTCCACTACAATATGCTTAGAACCGGTAAAAGTAGAGATTTATGGAGTGTAAGGCACGACTTAGACCTATAGAACCATTATTGATATGCTTTAAGTGAGAAAACCATGGAGTACGACGACCATTGTAGGTGAAACCTCAAAACTAACACAC